AAAGAAAAATGATCTAAGAACTGGTGATGTATGTGTATTATGTATAAAATTAAAATAATGAAGAAACTATAAGTAAAGAATGAAAAAAAAATTAAAAAATGAAAGATTAAGTAAAATAATAATGAGGAGGTTGGGATTTGATTAAGTTGTAAAATATTGGTGTCAAATGGCAGCACTAGATTCATAATACAAGTGCAGAGAAAGTCATTGTCAGAGCATATTAGTATTCTTACTTTAACCAGAGGCTGTCTCTGTGCTGGATAAACTCCTAATCATGACTGAAAATCTCAAATAAGCTATTGTTATGTAGTAGACAAGTCACACACTGTTGCGGCTACTTTTTCCGATCTTAGAGAGGAAGGGGAGGTTAGAAATCAGTCTATAGTTGCTAAAACCCTGGGTCAGAATGGTTTATCAGCTCTTTAAAAGGGACTGTGGTTCGTTCTGATAATAAAGACAAGACTATCATATCCAGTAAAAAAGTGCCAACTAAGGTTAAGACTTCTTTAAGCAGCCTAGTTGGGATAGGTTGATGGCTTTGATGAAGAAATTTTGAAGTTAACTGATGCAGCTGGATAGCAGAAAATTTTACAGTTGTTAAAATTCCTGTATTTGGAGGGACAGCGATACCTGTTGAGGGCATTTGGTGATTAATTTTGTCTCTAATAGTAATAATTTTATCATAAAAGAAGCTCATAAAGTCGTTACTACTGAGGGTTATGGGGATACGTGGCTCCACAGAGCTGTGGCTCTCAGCCTTCTATTAGTGCTAAATAACAGGCTGCTCTGGCATTACGGAGGTCCTTTCTATATATTTCAAAACCATCTTGCTAAATTGAGCGATATTCTATTACGTTATTCTCTACGTTTTACTGTGTATGATTGTACAACAATCAGCACTACTATTATGAGGACCATTATGGACCACTTTTGATAGGTACTGACCTCTGCAGACCGGGAACACCCCAGCTCTGACCCAGTCGTCCATCATAATGTGGCCCTTGTCAAAGTCGGTCAGATCCTCACACTGCCCATTTTTCCTGCTTCTAACACATCAACTCTGAGGACAAAATGTTAGTCAGTTATATATCCCACAATGCACCACAGAGCGCCTCTCCTGCAGGGCTGGTGACAGCGCAGGTAAAACCCTCAGGCTGATCATTCTAATCTTTGAACAGTATTGAACAGCCAAAAGGACAGTGATAGTGGACACTGACAGTAGGGTATATCCCATATTGGATATAGAGCACAGGAAGTGAGGTGCATTCTAATGCAGCATCTATTGCAACTAACACCCAACACCGCTAAATATAATTTTTGGAATGAAAAGAATAAAGTACTTTAAAGACTTTAAAAACAGCAGTTTCAGTCAGAGCCGGCTATGGGAAAAAACCCTACGGCTACGATACAACACAGACAGAGGGAGTGAGACACCATGACTCCACTATATTTTTACATAGGGAGTAGTTGTTTGCTGCTATATTGATATCTCACCTTGGCGTCGTGGATCCCTGACACCTCCTCAAAGGTCTTCTCCCCCACCATGACGGCGGCGAGGTTGGCTGTGTAGCTGGACAGCACCAGCAGGCAGAAGATGGCCCACAGGTTCATTAGAAACCGACCCGTCCAGCACTTTGGTGTCTTGGAGGAGACGGTGCGTCCGAACAGGATGGCATAGCACAGGTTGAGAGCCGAGGAGTACGAAAACACCCTGACCCTGTTGCGTCCGTGAGGCGTCATGCCGTATGGACTCTTCCACTCATACAGCGTAAGGAAGAGCGCTGTGATGTGCAGTGCCAGGAAGATGCCCACCCACATGGACCAGTGCAGGGGCCACATGAAGGCTCCGATGGGGGCCGCTGTGTCCTTGCTACGCACCAGGATGCCTAGGCTGGTGGAGAAGAAGGGTGATGTGAAGTCGATCACCCGGCTCCGTGCTGAGTTAATGCTAAAGGAGGTGACAGCCATGTCTGCCAGTCCGTTCAGAAGATCCCCCACCAGCCCAGTCCACCGCCCCCCCTTCCACGCGCCGTACTTCCCATCTCCAACGATATAAAGGTCGAACTCGAAGTCCAGGTCCTCTGCCAGCTTCTCCAGCAGGTCGATGCAGTATCCGTAACAACACTTGCTGTACTCTGCGGGCAGGAAGCTGCCGTTCCCCCCCGCCACCTCCCTGAAGAACCTCTCCAGAGTCTCCGAGCTGTTGGTGCTGGCATCCAGGCAGTACTGCCCAGCTGGGCAGCTGCCCTCGTCGTCCACGTCCCGCGTGAACACAAACGGATGTTCCACCAAAGTCACCACCCGGACCCGACTCCCCGCCACTGGCATCCCTGCCCTCCAGCGCCCCCTGGTCCTCCCGCCTGTCCCTTCTGTCCGGTGGCGAGGTTTGGGTCCCTGCCAGACTGCCTGGTCCTCCACTTGCAGTTGGCCTCCCTCCCAGCTCCCCACCGTCACCCAGGTGGGCTGACCCAGCGCATCCCGCCGCAGGCTCCAGATGTGGAAACGCTGCGAGGTGAGTACCTGAGATAGGTTCTGGTGGACTCGGACTGGACCCGTCAGACCGTAGAAAGACGTGTTGGACAAGAACCTGCAAGACCAAAACAAAAACCAGTTGGCTGATCGAATAATTAGTGTAACTTATTTATATTTATATATTAGTGAAAAACTGAGACTTAAAAGAGAAAACATCTGATCGACTGGAACCTTCCATTGTTTGACCTTTGACCTGGAGCTCTTGTCTAATGACCTTTTTAGAATGAGCTCCACCAGCTATTTATCGCCATTAACCAATCAATTCATATTCACACAATAAATCAAAGAAGTCCAACTGCTGCTCCTAAGATCTGCCCTCCCAGACCTCCGTCCTCAGACCCCCCTCTTGCAGGTAATATCACCCCCTGCTGGTGGGAGGATTTATTGTATTTTCTTTCATGAGCAGGGTTCGAGTTATAATCTGAGCTTTGTGGCTTTCTCTAAAATAAGTAACATTTTGGTGGGGATAGATGGAAAAAAATGGGTACGCTTCCCATGACAGAGAGAGAATTCTGTCCTTTTATCATGTTAAAGTAGGTGAGCTGTAGTGCTCCTCTAATGGGAGGATACATAGTTTTTCATCGCTCATGCTCAAACGCCAATTGTCTCACAGGACAGGGGCTTCGGGAGGGAGGACTGCAGTTGGACCTTCTCCAACAAACATTCACTCAGGTTTTATTTTGACGATTTTCTGAAAAATTCAAGCTCCATTTGGAAATTTGACTTATGAGAAGATTGTTTTAAGAAATATTCATCACACTTAACAACTCTATAATTCTACAGTCACAAACTGTTGAGATCTGCAGTGAATATTCGGGGTTCTCAGAGGATCATATTGTTTGGGTGCAACTATTAAAACAGAACAACAAACATCAGAACCTGATGTACGGGTGTATGCACTGTCACACTTGAGATTTGACTTTGACATTTGACACTCATATTTACACTAAGTGTTTAACAATGCATTCCCGTCCACCTCTGCAGCTGGTTTAGCTAATTAGATCACAATCCATCCTAAGTGCATGTTTGGTGCATTTACGTCTGTAAAGTTATGTGGTCTGACTGATATCCACTCACCAGAAACACACTTTGATGTGAGGTATAAACAGGGTATTTGTCTTACTATATTTACAAATTAACTCTTAAAGTGATCAGACGACCTTCTGATGTCAGTGTCTGTGATCTGATTTAAATCTGATGTTTCTCTTCACACTTCCTCTCTTCATTTCCTTTTGTTCTTTTCTCTTTTTTGCAACAGATAATCTGTGCTGTGAGGTTATCTCTCCATGTAATTTAATTTACTGTGAATGTGTTTGATCTTTTACTGTCAGTAAACTGAACGCAGCAGTTAAACCTTTTATCTTCCTCAAACCTGCAGCTCATCCCGTTTCCAGCTGCTGACAGACTCTCAGACACAATGAATGACTCTGCTCGCAATGTTTTCTGTAGCTTACAATAGGCTCATTGGAGATGATCCAGGGCTGTACAGAATCAATCACCAGCAATTGCCACACAATGCATTCTGGTTAGATTTGTGTTGACTTGATGCTGACTCGCTCTGGCGTTGTGCATACGTGGGCAACGATAACCTCATAAGATCAATGCGGCCACAGTTTTTGCTCTCCACCGACAGCGAAACCCAGGGCATGATGGGAAACGCCTGGCTGTCGTCTGATCAAAGAGCTGATTGGCTCTTAGTTTCAACAACAAACAACACATTTTCCTAGTTTTCTGTGATTTTTAAATTGAATTGTAGATTGTAGCTGCTGAAGGTTTAATCTGTTAGAAACAGATCTTGTGCGGTCGATAATAATAATAAAGTTTATTTATAGATCTGAATGTGGTCTAAAAACTATAGGCAACTTAAAGATGATCTAACATCTCAGTAAACATTTTTGTGACTTTATTCTTTGCAGGTTACTGGAAACTGTCCGACTGACTGCAGTTTTCTGTCTCCTCCGCTCTTTACAGGAGAGCAGTTAATCTCCAATGAGCCTACTGACAGTAGTTCACTGTGTTTCCTGCAGATGGCAGCGTTTCCTGTAGCTCAAACCTCTCGGAACCCCAACCTCTCTGGATGTCTGACAGGCTGAGATTCTGTTGGGGGATTGTGGACTGACTGATTTCTTCAGGTTTCTGCATCAACTTCAGTCAGCCAGTCTGCTGCTCTGGTTTTAAACAATTGGTTGGTTCTTGTCTGTTACACATTTCACAATTTTGGCTTTCCGTTGTTCAATAAATAAAAAGGTTTTCAAAGTACAACATTGATAAAAGTATCAGAATCGTGGTTAAAACTCACATTAATATCCATCCCTGGTCAGATTGATTTTTGCTGTCAGCCATGTTCAGTCCCTCCAGGATCTCTCAGGGATTTTGGGGGGATTGTTACAACCTAAACTGTTTGATTTCAATGCCGCTTTTCTAAAACCTTGCAATGTATGCTGTGATGTTATTAAGCTTTGTTTTGTATAACTGATTAAAAAATCACACCAGGGACACAACAGTTTCTACCCACAGGCCATCACTCTGATCAACACTTAACTGTACCTTGTGAATCTAACATTACTTATTTTCATTGTTGAAATTACGTTTTCTTTTTAAAAACACATCTCTTCATGCTGTATATACTGTCGTATCCAGCTACCTCACATACCTAAAAATACCTATAAAAATACAAACATTTATTCCAGCATTCTTTGCACTATGCTCCATTGCACAATTGTCTTACTGTCTACAAATGTTGTTGTTTATATCGATGTGTTTATGCACTGTGTGTTTTGAGCCCTTTCTATCAGAACCAGCATTAACTGTTTCA